GAGTGGGAACTTAATTTGAATTCCAATTGTTCATCTGATGGGAAAAAATGTTAGATTTATGTGCATGAATGTTACGTGTGTTACATGACTTGAGTACCTTGATTCGATATTTGATTTTTGTGTAGATGGCGGATGCAATTGAGAAAAGCTTTGTCTCCTTCAGAAAAGGCTACTCCTCCTACCACTGCTACAGATGTTGATAAAAAGGATGAGGAGAACGAAGATGATAAATTACTCAATGAGATGGAGGAGCTCACATATGCCATGGACCGTAAGAAGAAAAGAGAAAAGAAGCTGCTTGCAAAAAGACGTGCGAAGGTTTATACCAATGATAACATATCTACAATATAATAATTGAATGATACCTTATGTCCTAGTGCATGTTACCATGTGTCGGAAACTATGATGGAATGAATTTTGTGATTATACCAATGATAACATATCTACAATATAATAATTGAATGATACCTTGTTTTTCTTTTGAAAAAGTTAAACTTCCATTTTATAGATGTGGTAGATATTTATGGTGTTTCAGTTAGCTGTAGGATCTTTTCATGCAAACTCGATTAGCTGCTGATTTCTTGCCTTGCTGTTTTGCAGGACAAATCACGGAAGGCAACAGGAATGCAAATTGATGCCCTTGAAGATGGTTACGTTGATCATGAGTTGTTCTCTCTTTCTTCCATTAAGGTTTGTTTTACGAAGACTTCAAACTGGATAACTCCAATAATGTTTGTAACTTGCGGAAGTGCAATTTATTACTGAAAGTATAAAAGACAATTAAAACAACAGTGAACATATGGCTTGCAGTTATGACATTTGAACCAGAGGCATAGTTGATGTCTAGTATTTTTTTATAATTAATATTAGCATCGTTTCCATTTACCATACATTGTTAACCTAAACGATGTTCGGGCATGTTTTACTATATAAATGCTGAAAAGGAAGTTTCTTCTATTATCTGTTAAAATTTTAGGTTTCCTAAATGAAGTCATCACTACCTTGCATACTTCTTCTTAAATTGTTTCTTACAGTTATGATTCTTTGTTAGTTCCTGAAAAGTTAGGTTGTCTTTTAAGTTTTCAACATTGGTAGAAACTTTTATTTGATGCTAATCTATTACTGCTTTTAGGGTAAGAAAGATCTTGCGGCAGTTGATTCGACCGAGTACGATGATGGCAATGTTGACTTCAGGGGTAGCGAAGATGAACAAAATCGAGAAGTAAGCACTGAAGATGAGTCATCCATTGATGTTGACTCTGATGAAGAACGCAGAAGGTTAGTGTCTGCTTCTCACGACAGATGTATAATTTCTAACATTTTCTGCATGTTAACCTTGAAATTTTAATGCTAGATATGATGAAAAAATAGAAGAGATCCTTGATCACGCGTATGAAGAGTACGCGGCCAAAAAGGATGGAAGTACAAAGCAGATGAAGCCTTCAAAACAAGCTTATGAACAATTAGAGGTATGATTGAACTAAAAAATGTTGGATCACCATATCGACTTCAACTCAAAAAGAGTAACATGCGATCATATCTTTAAATTGAATTTTATATTTTACATTCCAAAATAGTTTCATAACGTCATTTTTCTTAGCTTCTGATTTGCAAGAACTTTATTCTACACCTACCTCTTGTTCTCCCTTATTTATCGACATCTCTATGGTACCACTTGATGATGGAGAAGGACCAACCCAGGAGGAGATTACAAACAGATGGTTTGGTCAGGATATTTTTGCTGAAGTTGTAGAGCAAGGGGATTTAGGGAAGTATGACAGTGACAATGAAATGGAGCTCGATAACCGAGAGGAAAAGCCAGGTATTCCCAAGAAGTCCAAAGTAAAGCAAAAGCAGGATGTGATAACTTATATGCCTGACAAGGCCAAGGAAAAGAAAGCAACAAATACTGCAGGCCTGAAAAGCATCAAACTCCAGGCTTCTAAGGCAGATGATGAGTTTGAGATTGTTCCAGCTCCAGCTACTGATTCCAGTGATGACTCGTCTTCAGATGACTCAGAGGACGATGATGTTGAGACGAAAGCTGAGATATTAGCTTGTGCTAAGAAGATGCTGAGGAAAAAGCAGAGGAATCAAATTCTCGACGATGCTTATAATAAATATATGTTTAATGACGATGGTTTGCCCAATTGGTTCTTAGATGAGGAAAAGAGGCATCATCGACCAATTAAGCCTGTTACAAAGGCAGAGATTGCTGCAATGCGAGCACAGTTCAAAGAAATCAATGCTCGACCTGCTAAGAAAGTTGCAGAGGCGAAGGCTCGAAAGAAGCGTATTGCAATGAAAAAGCTTGATAAGGTGCGCCAGAAAGCAAACAGCATATCAGACCAAGCCGACATATCTGAACGATCAAAGAGGAAGCAAATCGAACAACTATACAAGAAGGCTACTCCCAAAAAGCCCAAAAAGGAATATGTGGTTGCAAAGAAAGGGGTTCAAGTTAGGGCCGGCAAGGGTAAAGTCCTTGTTGATCGGAGAATGAAAAAGGATGCTAGGGCACGAGGAACTGGTAAACCAGGAAAAGGTGGTTCGAAGAAGGGAAAGAACGGAAAAGCAAATAAAGGTAAAGGATCTGGTGGCAAGGCTCCAGGGATGAAAGGAAACAAAAACAAAGGGGGGCGCATGCATGTCTGAACAGCTTAAGTTTTGGAAGATGCAATTTTGGATAAAATTAAACAATTAATGCAATTTTAGTACTTTTTTGTTGGTTTTGAGTGTTGTTTATTCAAAATTAAGGGTTACTAGTGCACTCAGATTCTTTAAGTGAGCAGTTTCTGATCGGAGCTTGTTTTCATGGGATTGAACAAATAATTGCATCCACTTCATTGCTTCAGTTGGACTCTTCTCGTAACATCAATGAACCCTAAAATCCAATTTTGAGAAAACACAACTAAATATTATAACTTGGGGTATCAATAAATCATTCAAAAGTAGAAAAAAGTTGAAAAGAATCAACCTCGAGGGAAATGGCAGCGGCAGTGGAGAGAAAGTAGAGCTTTCGAATGACCTGAAGACCAAAATAAATCATTCAAAAGAAGTATAACTTGGGGTATCAATAAATCATTCAAAAGAAGAAGACACTTAAAAAGAATCAACCTTGAGGGGAATGGCAGCAGCAGTGGAGAGAAAGTAGAGCTTTTGAATGACCTGAAGACCAAGTGTTCCATGGGGTACATAGAAATGGTCCAATTGGATCAAACAAATGATGAACAAAGCGTCTCTAAATACTTGAAGATTATCACATTGATCAACAATTGCATCAAACAGGTCGCCAATCTTCAACAAGAGGCAAAGGCCACCCACCACGATGGACAACTTCTAGAGTCCATTAGGGCAAAAAATAAACTCTGATATGGCCACCATTGCTGCAACAGTAAAGAACATCAAAGCCAGACTCGAACAACATCATAATGTGGCAATGATGATTGGTTTGAGAGTTAAGTTGAGGGAAGTGATGATTGATTTTCAGCCACCGAGGGAGATGATTGTAGTCGGCGAAGAACTGAGTGGTGAAACCTTGGAGACGACAAGTTCTAGAGAAGTGCAACATGTTTTCCTAGACATGGCGGTGTTGATGGATCGACATGGGGAGGACCGAATCGATGATACGGTAAACGGTGGAATTAACGTTTATGGAGGGACTTATGGATGGATTTATGGAAAGCAGATGAAGAAGTAAGATGGAAATGGGGCTACTGGATTGGGGGTTTAGTGTTGGCATCCTTCTTAAAAAGTTTTGTTTGCTGAATTTATATTAGATCCAATTCAGCAGAGTTTAACTGTTTTTCTTATCATCATACCACAAACTTAACTAATATTTTTATCAATATTATAATTTAGGTTTAATGGCATCTGCCCTTCAATTTTTTTTTAAAAATAATATAGCCCATGTTATTTTATATCTAATTTGACTCTTGAACTGAAAAAAAAAACTCATTTTAGTTCTTCGATTAACGTAAATTGTCATTGATTATTGCGGTACTGATATAATATTCTATGATATTGACGTGACAATCCACACTAGATGATAACATAATAGATAGAACTAATTGATTCTTTTATAAAGTTCAAGGTTCAATTTTTTTCTTGAAAGTTGGAAGGTTTATTTAAGTTTCAAAAATTATTTAAATTTTAAAATATTTTTAAAATAAATATAAAAATACTAAAAATAAGAATTTAATATTAAAAATAAAAAATTTTAAAATTTTTCAAAAAATTAAAATATTTAAATTTAATAATATCACAAACTATAAAATGATAAATGATAAATTAATTAATTTTTTAAAAAATTAAAAAGTTAAACAATTTCATCAACAAAAAAAAAATTCGCTCGTCTTTCGTCAACTTGAGTTTACAGTCTACTACTATTTATTGAATAAATTTTTAGTCATAAATATAATAATATTTTTATTTTTTATATATTTATTAAACATAAAATCATAAAAATATGAATTCGGAAACTTGGGAATAAGGTGAGCGCATTTTATATACGTACATGTATGAGATAAAACGGTACGACATGTGTCGTGATGGTTCATATTTATATAAAATTAAAAGCATGCTAGCTTTGTTAATTCAACTAATAAATATGGTTAATTTATATTCGTGCATATATATATTATGCATAATATATTGTAGGATGATAGTGTTATCATATGATATTTGAGGTGATATGTTTTAAAAGCTCTCGATGTGAAAATATATGTGTATGTCTAATATGATTGAAATACGAATTATTTATATGCTTAAACGAATGAAATATAATTAAATCATAAACGGTTCTAATTCGTGTTTATAAAAATGATTATGCATATCTATGATAAGAAGACAACAAGACTTAACTTAGAACATTAATTAAGAGAATATTATGGGAATCGCTAAGCGTTGATTATTGTAAATAATATAATTAGTAGCATCATTAATTCTACGTAGCAGCATAATGGGGATTCGTCGTAAGGTGCATGAGCCATGTTCCTCATTTATTCAGCTTGATCAGATTCTTCATCCTGCATGTCAAAACAATAATGAGCCTTCAAATATAAAATAATACGAATATTTTCCTGCTTGTAATTAGATATCGACGAGTTTTAGATAAAAATAAGTTATAGATTCAACTCGAATAAATGTAATTAACGTTGGTGTAACTGGTACCTCGAGTGTTCTTGCCGGTGGTCCTATATTTGGGGAATGGAACTTGACCCGACTCGATTTTCATCACATCGTTCACCAGCAGCTCATAGTGCCTCTTCACTTCCTCTGCAATTTTCCCTCCGACGGCCTTGGCAACATTGTGCCACCGGTCGGGTGTGTCCTTATCGTAAACAGCCAAAGCGCTCTCGAAGTCCTTGTTTTGCTTGGCTGTCCACGAACCGGAACCATGGAACGATATCGAGCTCGATGCCATATTTTACGATACTACAGAGGCTGTCGAAGAAGAGATGGTATGATGGGAGAGAGTCGGCAATGGCTGGTCTTTATAGGCAGTGGGTGGCCATGTGGGGGTACAAGGCCAGTTGGGGTAGAAATTCTGGACACCATATTTGTAGAATTTTACATGATTTGTCTCCTTAGGAACCACAAAAATGTTGTAAGAAAAATAAACGATGACGAAGATGAAATGTATAAGAATCAGTATCTACAACATCCAAAGCACCGGAATTTTGCAGAAAAAGGTAAATTTTTTTGTATTAACAGTAACTACATACGTAATGGCATTCAAATCCTTTCCTTTTCGCTTATTCTTTTTCAAGTCAAAAGATGTTCTTTGCCTTCATAATCATGTGTAAGTTCTATGAACTGATTGATTTGAGGCAAACCCTTTTCAACTATCTTAATCCTCAATAAAATTACTTTTAGTTGACCCAACAATTTGCTAATAAATAAATCGGGAAGTTCTACCGTACAGCAGTCTAAAGTGTCTAATAATAACAAAATCGGTAAAAATAATAATGTTTCAGATAATTTTTTACAGGTTTTGTTAAAAAAAAAATAATAAAACCGGTAGCGTCTTTCCTTAGCTGTATATTAAGGCTTCCACACGTGAGCTTTTCCCAAATAAATAATATTATTCCGACCATTCATGTTATTTTAAATATTATATTAGACGTTTGATTTACGAAAAAATTATTATCGTCCTTTTAAAATTATGTTCACACGTTTGGTTTAAAGTATTCTCTTATAGATAGTAATCTTTGATTTATTAGATGTTAATTCATCATGTTAAAAATGTTGTAGCAGGTTAAATTTATTATCTATAATTTTTATTATTAGTTTATTAATTTTAAATTTATTTTATTATTTACTATACATTTATTTGAAAAACTGTGATAAGTAATAAAAAAAATAAACATATCAAACGTTTTGTTATACTATAATCCAACAAATAAATGTCGAGATTTTCTATGTGCATGGTATTAATTTGAACTTTGCATGTTCCCGATTATAATACTTGCATGAGCTTAATCGGGTGCATTCTCGAATCATAAGCTAAAAATAAATGTTTAAAATTAACTTTTGATGTTTAAAGAATTTTAAAAAAAATTAGGTATTTAACATTTCTAATGTTACACTTTGATGTGTCTGGACTGTAACACCGTTAAATTTGATCGTTAAGTGACCCGTGTCAAATATTTTTTATTTAAATTAAAAGACTTAAAATTATAACTTGTTTTAAAAAAAATCTCAAAATTTTATAAAATTGTCAACAAAAAATTTAAAAATCTCTTAAAACCCTAATTTTAACCTCTTAGCATCATCGACCGTCACCAACGACGTCAATTGGTCAAACAACCAACGTTGTTTGACCGTACAACCACCCAATGGCCAAAATTCCTTATTTTTCGACCGGTTGAACATGCAACGGTCGTGTAAACACAAGATTTTTGCGACCGGTTGAAAGAGGTTATCCACTTGCGATCGTTGATTTTCGGCTGCAATAACCACACGAAGCATGGGGGTTTGGGCAACTGCACGTCGTTGGGGTTTCAGTCGACTGACAACGTTTTTGACGGGGACGATGGTAAGAGAATGAAATTAGAGTTTTTTTGGGATTTTGGGGTTTATCTATAAATTCAAAAATTATTGGGTTTTTAACGTTATTTTTTTAAAAAAATAAAAATTTATATGCTTAACACGTGTTAGATAATAATATATTTTTAATGATCATGATAGCTCATACACTTAAAAATGTAACATCAGAAATATTAATCATTTAAAAGAGAATGTTAGACACCTATTTTTATTGAAAAAAATTAAAAACCTAAAATTGAAGTTAGTATAATTTAGACAGTTATTTTTATATTAAGACTAAGGTAAAATCTAATGTTTCGTACTATAATTCCACGTGTTCACCGCCGTGTTAAATATGGAGTATCTTTCGAGAAAAAAACACATTCTAAACATACGAGCTGGCTTGTTGATTTCGTAATAATCATGTATGTTTCCTCCAACAATTGTACGTGTTTCCTACGGCTGTTGGGTGTACTAAAAAGATTTTTTTTCCATTTTGGAGGACTAAAATATAATTTTATAATTTAAAGTTTTATAACATGAATCAAACGATTTAAATAATTAAGAAATTATTATTATTTTTTGAAGTTTAAGATTTGAACACCACATAGTGATAAATTTAAAAGTTAAAAAATTGAAGTTTAAAATTTTATTTATTTTTTCTTTTTAAGGAGTATAAGAATTTTCTTTTTCTTTTCTCTCCCGTCGTTACACTAAATTTTTCTAAAATAATAGGATGCAATTACTCCTTATGGGAGCTCCGTACATCTACCCATAGCACCACATATGTCGAAGTATATGAATATTCATTATCAGATGGAGACATTTTGAATCTAAATCTTTCTTGAATTATCGGTTTTGTTTTAATGTTCCATCGAGGTATCAACATCAAATATGTAAAAAAAAATACATATTTTTCATGATCAATGAGCTAGTTTATAATGGCAATGTGAGAATTACAAATCATGATCAATGCATTTATGGCTTTTGGGTCTCAAATGGCTCTTTCATGTCTTTATTTACGACAAGACATGGTAAATTATTTGATGCGATAATATCCCTTTCAAACAGTCCATAAAATTCACATAACACATCAAATGCTGACACCAGATGAGTAAACCAGAATACTGCTGTATACGAGTAAAATTATCCATATGGTTCATATAAAGCTACCCCACCATTTCTTCAATTTCATTTGCCTTATAGTACAGTAATAATTGTACCTTCAATCATGAACATCCATGACCATACCTGAATTCACTTCATGTAAGTTCGAATCCGTAAAACGACGTGGTTTGTGGTTTCGAGGGGATGGAGGGACTAAATATCTGGTTTTGGAATAACAAGTCAAAATCCACAACAGCATCAGGAATTGGTGTAGGACGGTGGAGTGATATACCATTGATATATGGCTTGCAAGTTGATTTATAGAGTTAGCCCCAACCTATGAATGGACCTACTACTATACGCCGTCACCAAATATCTGCAATTGGAAAAGACTAGATGACGATGACGGCGAAGATGATTCCTTCGTATCTTTGCAATTGTCGGTCGTATAGATCTCGATTAGCAAAGGGGGATGGTGAATGTATGGGTGGTTAAAGCCACAGCCAGGACTGGATTCACACACAAGTTGCAGAGGGGGGCCCGGTCATGTTCATGGACGATGACCACATGCTCACCGTGATGATTGGTTGAAAGTTACACCATTTGGGGAATCCTTATCCAATTCAAGGTAATATCTTTGGATTCCTTTCTCTCTCCCAACTGGTCCTTCTCCCTTCCAATAACTTCGTAAATCCGACATTTTTTTTAGTAGACGGAGTCAAAATACCGATTTGTTAATCATATTTTCATATACCTTTTGATATTAAATAAAAACAAAAAGATGAGTGCCAACTCAGAGATACATTCAAGAGTGATATAACTTTTAGAGATTTGTAGTCATGCAAAAACTTTAAAAACCGTAAATTATATTCTTAAGACATTGACTGGATCGTGATGACAAAAAACCCAAATCAAGAAGGCGTCACTTTACATGGTTTAGACCCAGCAATCATGAATAGATCGAGAGGTGTATTGGAGTTGCAGTCGTATCATCTGAAAATTTCAAATCTCCATGTAGTTTAAGTACTTTCTTTATATATTTTTATTAATAATCCAATTTTGTACCATTGAATATTGAATATTATTTTTTAAATTCATATCACCCTACATAAAATATTATATTATGTCAGCTTAAAGTTTTCTTTTCCTTTTTGAGTGTTATATATCTTTAAACAAAGTGAAATTTGGGACAACGAATATTGTGCAATTGGTTGAATTAGTAAGGAGGGGAATGACAAAAGGCTATAGACCTACATAGGAAGGAATATACGGTGGCACATGCCAATAATTGTATGAAAGCTACTTATAAATTATCGACTTTAAATTGCAATTGCGAACATATTTTCATTTAAAACAACGATAAATTATATTATAATCTCTATTTAAATTCGAATAATAAATTAACTATTTCTTTTAGCTGTGATTCCCATTTTGCATGTAAGACACCCTCAAAAGTTGATAACACACGTGGCTTGTGTAAGATTTTAAAGGTGCGATGTACTAGCAAGACATGAACCATGCATGCAAATTGTAAACCGGATAATTTGAAACTAAGCGCACCCACAACGACTCTCTGATCATCGTCGAGGCATAATTCGTTCATATCGATGTTCGTTCAGTATATTTTTTTATCGTATAGTGTCTTTATTTTTTTTAAATGGTACCAAATTTAGTCTTTTATATAGATGATTTTTAAGTTATGAAATTTGAGGGGTAAACCCAAAAAAGAAAAAAAATAGATTGGTAGTTTTTTTTTCATGGTACACAATGAATCTAATGTTGGGAGATTCAGTGGAGACCAAATCAGGATATGGTGTGGGCCAAAGATTCGTACGCTCTTTATGCTGATCTTGTCCTGTCGTTTTCGTTAAAGTGCATAATAAAAGTCAACCACAGCAAAAACTGGGTTAATTATTTCATTACTACTGTGCCTGATTCCTCGACCGGTATTGCCTTTTTTCACCCGGAACTTATTCAATGGCGACCGGCGCCTGCTGGCTGGTTTACGCTCAACACGGATGGTGCAGTTCATCATACTTCCTCTCTAGGATCGGCAGGTGGCATCATCCGAAACAAGGATGGAGATTGGATCGTCGGATTTAATAAAGCGGTTGATATTTCCTCCCCATTACAAGCTGAACTCTGGGGAATTCTTGAAGGACTTCAATTAGCGTGGTCCCAAAGACTCGAGCACCTCCAATGCCAAACGGACTGTGCGGAAGCTCTAACACTCGTGACTTCTTAAACAGCCGCATCTAGCCCAGTGTCTATTGTCAGATCTATCGCGAG